AGAGACGGAGTTTCACCATATTGGACAGGCTGTTCTTGAACTCCTGGCCTCAGGTGATCCACCTGCCTTGGCCTCCCAAAGTACTGGGATTACAGGCAAGAGCACTGCACTCAACCTGCTTTTTCTGAACTCCCCACCATTGATGGCATATTGAAAGGACAGCTAGAGTCACAAACCACAGGTCAACACGGCCAGATGGTGGCATGGAGCTCCAGGACCTCACCACTGTTCCTTACCCCATGGATAACCTCATGAGCTGGCTTGCATCCTTGACTAGGCTCCAAAGGTGCGGAACAGAAAGCTTCATTTTGCCCTGACACAGCTCTTGCCTTTCCAGCCTCCTTGATTTGCTCCCTTAAAATAGGAAAGGAGAGACGATGTATTCTAGCAGACTGCTTTTCTGCCATTCTTTGTCTAAAATGAAAAATGTATGTGTGCATGCTTGTATGATGTCAGGATTGTGGACAGCTTTAGTTTCAATTTCAATATTGAGATATAGGGTGTTGGACTAATACCTCAACATTTTGTGACTGTCATATATCACAAGCATATACTTAAACTATTTGGCTTGAATCTCATCCTTTAGTGTAATGGTCTGTGTGTCTTCCAAACCTTTGAAATCAAACTCATGTTTAATACTAAATATGATGAAGCCTTCCTACAGCAAACTCATCTTAAAGGAACTGGGGTTATTTATGCACAGAAAGTGAAGATTTCAGCAGATTTGCTCCTTGTCAAATGTGTACTGTATCTTTCTAAATAGATATCAGTACCACCAGTAACTCCTGTAATAAAGAGTAACTGTAAGTGAATCAGTGCATGCAGAAATGAAGCCCTGGTATTCTTATTTCAAATTCCTATTTATTTCTCACTGATACAAGCGAGCAAAAATATACTTATTTCTTCCCAAAATTACTGAAATGTTTTCCTTTTTAATGCTTTTTTTTTTTTTTTTTTGCAAGATAAAGATATTTTCTCTGACCTTCATATGCTGAAATGGGGAGAAAACTGATGATTCTCAATCAGCAGGGCCATGCCTCTGTAGCAGGGAGGGGAGAAGAGGGCATCTCAGAAATTCTTAGAAGTGAAGTTTAATAATCATATCGATACTCTATTTTTATCCTAATAAGACAAAAGAAAACCCTCCTAATGTGTTAATAACACAAATTACAGCAACCCAAACTTGATACAATCATGGCCAGGGAAGGTATGCAGAAAAGGCTGTGGTAGGCATCTTCAGTGGCTTTCCTATTTCCTCACTAAAAGATCCTTGATATTGTTCAGTGGCAACATCCCAAGGCAGAATCACAATTGGTCTGAAACTATCATGACATCTTCCCAGCCTCCCTTGCAGGGAGAAGTGACTATATGACCCAGTTCTGATGGGAAATAAGGATAGAGAGGTACAGAGAAGCCAGATCAGAGAAAGCCTTGGAGGCCACATTAAAATATTTGAACTTTATCCTTATTCTACCCTATATCCATTCTAAATACTGTTGATATCCCCCATCTTAAAAAGAGAAAACCAAGACTTTAAATGGCTTGATTGAAGTCATAGCTACTGAGCGGATGAACTATAATTTGAACCTGGGTTTTGTTTTTATTTGTATTTTTTGTAGTGTGTGGGAGCCAAAGAACTGTCCAGTCATCACCAAGTGAGTGCAAGCTAGTTAGAAATAAAGAAATAATGAGAGCTTACTGAGTCTGTAGAGAATAGCTAATGTAACAATATATTTTAAGGATTGAGATAGTTGGCTGGGCGTGGTGGCTCACACCTCTAATTCCAGCACTTTGGGAGGCCGAGGCCGGTGTATCACTAGGCCAGGAGATAGAGACTGTCCTGAAACCCCCTCTCTACCAAAAATGCAAAGATTAACTGGGCACGGTAGCACGTGCATGCCCGTAGTTCCAGTTACTCGGGAGGCTGAGGCGGGAGAATGGCTTGAACCCAGGAGGCAGAGGTTGCAGTAAGCCGAGATCATGCCACCAAACTTCAGCCTGGCCACAGAGTGAGACTGTCTCAAAGTTGGCTTCATCCCTGGGATGCAAGGCTGGTTCAACACACACAAATAAATAAATGTAATCCATCACATAAACAGAACCAACGACAAAAACCACATGATTATCTCAATAGATGCAGAAAAGGCCTTCAACAAAATTCAACAGCCCTTCATGCTAAAAACTCTCAATAAACTAGGTATTGATGGAACGTATCTCAACATAATAAGGGCTGTTTATGATAGACCCACAGCCAATATCATACTGAATAGGCAAAAACTGGAAGCATTCCCTTTGAAAACCTGCACAAGACAAGGATGCCCTCTCTCACAACTCCTATTCAAAATAGTGTTGGAAGTTCTGGCCAGGGCAATCAGGCAAGAGAAAGAAATAAAGGGTATTCAATTAGGAAATGAGGAAGTCAAATTGTCCCTGTTTGCAGATGACATGATTGTATGTTTAGAAAACCCCATCATCTCAGCCCAAAATCTCCTTAAGCTGATAAGCAACTTCAGCAAAGTCTCAGGATACAAAATCAATGTGCAAAAGTCACTAGCATTCCTATACACCAATAACAGACAAACAGAGAGCCAAATCATATGTGAATTCCCATTCACAATTGCTACAAAGAGAAAAAAATACCTAGGAATCCAACTTACAGGGATGTGAAGGACCTCTTCAAGGAGAATTACAAACCACTGCTCAATGAAATAAAAGAAGACACCAACAAATGGAAGAACATTGCACGCTCATTGATAGGAAGAATCATTATAGTGAAAATGGCCATACTGCCCAAGATAATTTATAGATTCATTGCTATCCCCATCAAGCTACCAATGAGTTTCTTCACAAAATTGGAAAAAACTACTTTAAAGTCCATGTGGAACCAAAAAAGAGCCTGCATTGCCAAGACAATCCTAAGCAAAAGGAAAAAAGCTAGAGGCATCATGCTACCTGACTTCAAACTATTCTGCAAAGTTACAGTAACCAAAACAGCATGGTACTTGTACCAAAACAGATATATAGACCAATGGAACAGAACAGAAGCCTCAGAAATAACACTACACATCTACAACCATCTGATCTTTGACAAACCTGACAAAAACAAGAAATGGGGAAAGGATTCCCTATTTAATAAATGGTGCTGGGAAAATTGGCTAGCCATGTGTAGAATGCTGAAACTGGATCCCTTCCTTACATCTTACACAAAAATTAATTCAAGATGGATTCAAGACTTAAATGTTAGACCTAAAACCATAAAAACCGTAGAAGAGAACCTAGGCAATACCATTCAGGACATAGGCATGGGCAAGGACTTCGTGACTAAAACACCAAAAGCAATGGCAATAAAAGCCAAAATAGACAAATGGGATCTAACTAAAGAGCTTCTGCAAGGCAAAAGAAATTACCATCAGAGTGAACAGGCAACCTACAGAATGGGAGAAAAATTTTGCAATCTACCCATCTGACAAAGGGCTAATATCCAGATCTACAAAGAACTCAAACAAATTTACAAGAAAAAAACAACCCCATCAAAAAGTGGGCAAAGGATATGAAAAGATACTTCTCAAAAGAAGACATCTATGCAGCCAAGACATGTGAAAAAAATGCTCATCATCACTGATCATCAGAGAAATGCAAATCAAAACTACAATGAGATACCACCTCACACCAGTTAGAATGGCGATCGTTAAAAAGTCAGGAAACAGCAGATGATGTAGAGGATGTGGAGAAATAGAAACACTTTTACACTGTTGGTGGGAGGGTAAACTAGTTCAACCATTGTGGAAGACAGTGGGGTGATTCCTCAAGGATCTAGAACTAGAAATACCATTTGACCCAGTGATCCCATTACTGGGTATATACCCAAAGGATTATAAATCATGCTACTATAAAGACATATGCACACTTATGTTTATTGTGGCACTACTCACAATAGCAAGGACTTGGAACCAACCCAAATGTCCATCAATGATACACTTGATTAAGAAAATATGGCACATATACACAATGGAATACCATGCAGCCATAAAAAAGGATGAGTTCATGTCCTTTACAGGGACTTGGATGAAGCCGGAAACCATTATTCTCAGCAAACTATCACAAAGATAGAAAACCAAACACCACATGTTCTCATTCAGAGGTGGGAACTGAACAGTGAGATCACTTGGACACAGGGCTGGGAATATCACACACTGGGCTCTGTCGGGGGTTGGGAGCTGGGGGAGGGGTAGCATTAGGAGAAATACCTAATGTAAATGAGGAATTGATGGGTGCAGCAAACCAACATGGCACATGTATACCTATGTATCAAACCTGCACATGGTGTACATGTACCCTAGAACTTAAAGTATAAAAAAAAGAAAATGGAGATGGTTGTGTGTAATCTTTTTGTTATTAATAAGCAAAAGATTGTCCAGTACATAATTTAAATTCCAGCATTGAAAGCAGCCTCAAGAGATCACACAATTCAGGCCTCCTTCCTGTGCTTTCCAAAGATAGGTCCCCTGGATTCCACATGATTGAAGTAACTGCTTATTTCTGTGATTTTAGACCACTGGTTTGACAAAAACAAAATGAACCAGGACGGGGCGGGCGGGGGCGGGGGGGAACCCAGAAACCCTATTTGTAACAAAGTCTCAACAATGAGATACAATGGTATTAGATACATGCAAACACACACACACACACACACACACACACACACACATACACACACCCCTACCAAAATACACAAATAATCCTAGATCTTGTAGCAGATTGTTGATTTATTCATTGTGACTGCAGCTCCTAGTAATGCTATTATTTGCAGGTGGTGAGTGTGGTATGGGATGGTATGGAGCAACATTTTCCAAATTGTGGTTGTGATCAATATACTTTTTGAAATCAAAGATGGAAAAACATCACAGTGCAGAATGTCCTATGATACTTGATGTATGTATGTATCACACACACATATACACACCTACAGACACACATACACATACAATGAATTCTACATATATTGAATTGTGATGTAATCTTTATTTCTTACTCTGAGCTCCAGTTAGAAAAGTTTGACAATCATCATTTTAGAGCTATGTTCAAAAAGTGGAGACTCTCTGACTCACTGTGAGCTCTGCTATATCTATGTGCTTCCTGGAGAGGGAGCAACTTGCTAAGCTAGAGTCCTGTCCATTGGCATGGATATTTACTGTTCCACATGTTGGGAAAACCATGTGCAATAAAAATCAAACATATGAAACAATGGCTGTCATTGTACCACAGTACACCTTGTATCTTGGTTAAGGTTCTTAAATTACTCCTTTGAGTTTCCTAATTCACTTCAGGAAGGATTTGCTGCATTCCGTCTTTATGCTGTTACTTGCAAACCTTGGGAATAAACATAAAAAGAAATTAATGGAGAATTCCAATTCTCATTTTATTAAATCTTTACATCAACAACAATAAATCTAAGGATGTTTAAATTACGGGGATTCTGGAGCCAAAAATGCTGGTTTCCTGTAAAGAACTAAATTGAGTCCAAGTCCCATTCTTTTAATCCCTGCATTAAATTTGAAGCATGACTGAAAATATCAGATAGATATCCAAAATCATTTGTAATTGGTATAGTAATCCTTGACTTCAGGGAATGAAATAGTTTGAAGACTAGAATAAAACCACAAAGGGTAGCTGTCTGCAGTATAATCCTTGTTTTGGAGTGTTACCCTTGATGTGGGGAACGTATTATTACCTTTAATCCCTTTTCTTAAACGAAGGAAGCCCAGTGGAATACTTGATTTGGCATAGAAATTCAATGATAAACCTACCACATTCTTATTACACAGCTCATATTGGAGAGCACACATTTTTCAGTGTAGTATTTCATTTTTGAAATATGTGAAATGTAAAAATGATTACATCCTTTGACTACACAAGTGACACTTCTGGGAATTTACTCCAGGGATATAATTCAAAAAGAAGAAAACCAACATAGAATACATGTAGATATTTTGTTATAGCATGTGATTTACCCATGTGAAACACCTGTAACAACAGTAAATAGACAACAATTGGGAAATGGTTATGTGATCTTATGTTAATTTGGACTACTGTCCTAGATAATTATACTATAATTTAATAATGAGATCATACTTTAAATTTAATGAGAACAATGCAAACATCTGATAATTAAATTTTATTTTGCAACTTCTTATTCCTTTGATTTGAAACTAGACATGTGACATCTTTCTTCTCTACTAAAAGGTCAATGTCAAGTCTTATATCTCTCTTCCATGTACAAAACAGAACTCAGCCTTGATTTTTGTTTTTAACTGGAAGAGCTACTTAGTTTCATTATATAATGAACTCTATAAAGCTGCATAAAAATTAAATACTAATTTAAAAACAGAGATAAGCACGGCTGATTAACTACACTGCCCTTGCAGTCTTGTAAAGGAGAGATTGATGTGAACAGTAAAAAGACTGGATGTGTACTCATTAAAATGTTAACACTAATGACTGGAGAGAACACAGGTAATTACTTCCTCCCTTTTGCTTTATAATAAACATTTAACAAGGCAGGGTGTGGTGGCTCATGCCTGTAATCCCAGCACTATGGGAGGCCAAGGCAGGCAGATTACCTGAGGTCAGGAGTTCAAGACCAGCCTAGCCAACATATGAAACCACGTCTTGACAAAAATACAAAAATTAGCAGGGCGTGGTGGTGCACACGTGTAATCCCAGCTACTCAGGAGGCTGAGGTAGGAGATTCGCCTGAACCCAGATGGTGGAGGCTGCAGTGAGCTAAGATCACGCCACTGCACTCCAGCCTGGGCGACAGAACAAGATTCCATATCAGCTGGGTGCGGTGGCTCATGCCTGTAATCCCAGCACTTTGGGAGGCTGAGGCGGGCAGATCATGAGGTCAGGAGATCAAGACCATCCTGGGTAACATGGTGAAACCCTGTCTCTACTAAAAAAAATAAAAATTAGCCAGGCGTGGTAGAGGGCCCCTGTGGTCCCAGCTATTCGGGAGGCTGAGGCAGGAGAATGAGATGAACCTGGGAGGCGGAGGTTGCAGTGAGCTGAGATAGCGCCACTGCACTCCAGCCTGGGTGACAGAGTGAGACTCTGTCTCAAAAAAAAAAAAAAAAAAAAGATGGAAAAAAGACTATATCAAAAAAATAAAAATAAATAAATAAATAAATAAACCTTTAAAAATAATATGCTTTTATAATGAGGTGAAAATAAATGTTTTAAAAGGGAGTTTGAATGTTCCTGGTGGCTAGACTACTTTGTTTTAGTAAGAATAAGGAAATGATTAAATTTTGCCTCACCCTTTGAATTTAAATAAGGATTAAATTAAATGTATAACTCCATTCCCTTACTCTGCTGAATAATTTATTGTTTTATTAACAATTAAATTCAGTCTTTCTTGTTTCCCCTTCATTATTATTACTTTATCATAATTATGATTTTATGTACTTAAGACTGAAAAATTAGCTAGACAAGTTTATGAGATGTGAGAAAAAAAAAAAACCCTGAAGATCAGTCACTGGAAACAGGAAAGGTCTCCCTAGCTGGCTCAGTGTGTGTCATACTCAGGGTTAAACCAGGCTACGCTGAGGGTACCTTCAGGACAGCTTTGCCAGGTTACTGTGGATGGAAGAACCAGGAAAGGTAATAGGTTACTAGAAATAAAACAGTAACTTATTTATGTAACTGAGAAAAAACAGCACAAATGTTAGAGGTAAGAAAAGCTGATGGATTTCTGTTTTTATCTCTCTTTTAAGTTTTGTTTTTTTTTAACTTTATCTAATATCTAGAAGCCTCAAATGGCATAGCTAAATACTTTCCTGCCTGCCTCTAGGATGTAGGGAAGGAAAGAGGAGGGGCATCACAACATTGGGAAATGCACTTTCTTGTGGGCTAGCAGCACCTGTCAAAACATGCCAGCTGTATTTGGGCCTTGGAACAGATGGTGAAGGCTGAATTTGGAATGGAACTGGATGCAATTTACCTGAGCTACATGACCAAGGCTACTTTCATCTTTATCAGTAGGTAGATCATAAGGCCAAACTCCAGTGTATGACTTAGTCATAAAGGAAAGTTGGACCCAAGCACTGGCCATCGCTGAGAAGACAAAGAGCTACAGGTGTCCAACAGCTGAAACACTTCTGGAAGTGCCTCATTAGGGACAGAAAGGGGGGCCAGTAACTCTCAGAGAAGTGGCTCTGGCTCATGTGCTATCATTTATGAAGGCTGAGCCCTTCCCTTCACCCCACACCCTCTATATCCACTCACGTTGGTGCTCTGAGATTCATTATGGGAGGCCTGACTTTCATCAAAGTAACAGACGGCAGGAGTGGGCGGGCATGGCAAAGCTTCTAAATTCTACTTGCAAGAAGAAAATTTAAAATGGTCCTGAAATTCCTTCAAATGGGTTCATGCCTATATGATGGGCTGATCCTGAAATCAACAATATTTAGGATCAATGAGCTGCCTAGTTGGGTTCAGTCTCTTATTGAGGAAGGACATTTGGATTAGGGCAGTTGCCTTTCACCAAAAAAACATATAATGTTCTTCACTGCTGGAGTGAGTCATACTGTCTTCTCTGAGCCAGTTGATGATTGCATTTTGCTGGTGTTAGCCATGGAAATTCTTTTAATTCAAATAGTTCAAATATAACAATAGCTAGATCTACAGTTCTGTCCTTCCAGCGTGTTTTTTCGACCTTCTTCTTCTGGTTTCTACCTCCTGCCCTGCTTTCTCTTTGGGAAATTTTTAAGTTTTTAATTTTCAGAGATAGGGCTGTCTGTCTCCCAGGCTGGAGTGCAATGGCACAATCATGGCTCACTGCAGCCTTGACCTCCTGGGCTCAAGCAATCCTCCCACCTCAATTTCCTGAGTAGCTGAGATTATAGGCGTGTGCTACTATGCCCCGCTAGTTTTTTTGTTGTTGTTTTGTTTTTTTGAGACAGAGTCTCACTCTGTCACCAGGCTGGAGTGCAGTGGCGCAGTCTCGGCTCACTGCAACCTCTGCCCCCTGAATTCAAGAGATTCCCCTGCCTCAGTCTCCTGAGTAGCTGGGACTACAGGTGGACACTACCACATCTGGCTAATCTTTTGTATTTTAGTAGAGATGGGGTTTCACCATGTTGGCCAGGATGGTCTTGATCTCCGGACTTCGTGATCCACCTGCCTCGGCCTTCCAAAGTGCTGCGATTACAGGTGTGAGCCACCACACCTGGCAGCTAATTTTTAAAAAAATTTAATTTTTGTAGAAACAGAGTCTCTCTCACTATGTTGCTCAGGCTGGTCTTGAATTCCTGGCCTCAAGCAATCCTCCCAATTTAGCCTCCCAAAGTGCTGGGATTACAAACATGAGCCACTGCACCTGGCCAGAGAAATTTTTAAAATCAGAAGGTGTTAGGTGGGGTGTTCAATTACAAGATGGGTTACGTGATCCAGACCTCGCCAATCAAAGTATGCCATCCCTCTGGCCATAACGATCGCTTTGGCAAGTCATGTGGTCCAGCAGGACCAATCATCTGGGCTACAACAGAACACTGCTTTTTAGAAAATGATTTAAGATAAAGAATTTCAAATTTATGCAGAAGAAGTGAGAATAAATATGAACCTCCTTGTACTCAATACCCAGCTCCAACATTTATCAACTCGTGGTCAAATCTTGAAAAAGGTATCTTTTCACACTGGGACTGATGGACCTAGAAGGATGTTGTTATCAACAGACATCAGGTCAGTGGAGAGCCTGACTTCAAAATAAACCCTAAATAGAAAGTAGAATAGAAGCAGAGTCCTGAGGACCTTATTTGAGTTCCTTAACCCATTAATGTTGGAGGTTGCAAAATTTTTTGTGTGAAAAACCAGACCTTGGTGATGACCTTGAGCATTAGGATATAAATAACTCTACTAGCTTACAGTCCCAACAGTGGAACACTAGGCATAAACGGGTTAATCCAGCTGGGTCTGAAGCCACCATTACCCCTGTACTGTCTTTCTGCTGAAGCCATATTTAGGCAAATCTCTGGCACTTGCAGAAAGTGCTGTCCAATATGAAAACCTTAAACAAACACTTCATAATACTTTTTAAAATCTTTTGTTTATCTTTGAGGTATTTGGAAAGTAGAAATTTTATGGAAATCTTTAAGGGAACAAAAGAAACAGGGAGCTCTGGACATACTAAAACAAAATCATCAGCATTTTAATTATACTCTGCCCAAAGGATACTTCCAGTCCCATTTGGTACAGCCATCTACTAAACATTTTAAAGTAAATCACATAAATAGCATTAAGAGATGTGACAAAGGGTACATGGTTTCACCCCTAAAAACAGACAGACAAACTAACTGAGTCTCGAAACCTTCCCCCCGGAATTTCTGATTCTGAATTATCCTCAAAGCAAAGAATGGACGAGCACAATCCTTCCTGCATTAGCATTCTGGTATATTCCGTCCTTTCATATGCAATGAACTATTTTTCTGGCTGCTTCTCCTCTACCTTCCACTTTGTTAGCACCATACTTACACTTTTGCTTTGCTAGTTCTTGTATTAGATCTTCATAGACTTGCAAAAAGAGGTCCTCTTCAGATTTGGTTCCATCTAGGTACACTACGAAGGGGAAAAGAGAGCGGTTCAAATGCTAACAGGCTTATTAATATACAATGTTTACTTTGGCACCCAATGTCTCTTGTAAATGCCAATAGGTTTAACCAAGGCACCCAGGACCATAACTTAAAAGAAAATTAATAGTGATTGAAGAAAGAAATAGATACTAGCCAGGTATAATAGGTCAAAAATCCTGGATTGTTACAGATAAATCCACACTGGCTTATGTGAAAATTATTTAATTAAAAGAGAAGAGAAAGAAAGAAGAAAAGAGGAATGAAACAGAAGAAAGTAAGTGGTGTTCTGCACATGGCACTTTTGATGCACTGAAGGTGTTCACCCAAAAGGGTCACTTAAGGAGTAATTCTTCAACATACTTAGACATGAGGGTCACTTGGGAAGCTTCTTAAACCATGCAGTGGTCTGGGATCTGCAACATATGTACTAACTCAGAATTCACCAGGCTCAGAAAATATGTGTGTGTGTGTGTGTGTGTGTGTGTGTGTGTGTTTTCAGCTATCAGAGAAAAGATGTATTTTTAATAAAACTGGCATAAGCAGCTTTGGAGAAAAAGTAGAAGTTGTCTAGGTTAAAGGAAGGAAAGGGCCTTCTGGTCAGAAAATAGCAGGGAGAGGCAAAAGCAATGATGCACCATTTGGAATGGCTAGAATACGGGGAAGCTCTGGGAACAACATGAGATGAGATTCTAGAGCAAGACTGTACCTCAGTACCTCAGTCGTTAGACGCCTTGATGTCTGGCTGTTTGGATTGTATCTCAAAGATCTGGAGACGTCTCAAGGTATTCAAGCAGGGCAAGAGCCTGATTAGATTTGCATTTTAGGTAAAAGGGAGAGAAGGGAAGCAAGAGGATGTTCTTGCAACCAATGGTCCAAGGTGGACATGGTGCAGCCAGAATCTCAGCATCGGCCCTGGGGATACACTCTGTATGCATTCCACACGGCTCTGACATAGCTACCTATCCTGGAGGCCAACAGGCTTCTCAAAACACGGACAAGTCCCCTTTATTGTGAAAAGCATATATCAGTTCTAACTTCTTTGCCTTATAGAACAGCCTTCTGCCATCTTCTCTGCATTGAGTGCCCTATTCCAGTGATGTGTTCTTAGCTCAAGCCCACAGATCCGGAAGCTTACCTCCAAATTGCTACATATGTCTCCCAGGCACCTCAACCTTATTATATGCAAAACAGACATGCATTCCTCCCTTACAGGTCTGCAATGTCTTCACTTTTTTCTAACATCCGTCAGTTGCTGAGGCATCTGTCATCTTCCCGCCCCCTCCATAGCTGTTCTATCACCCATTTCTACTGAGTGCAGGCGTCTAACATCACACCCTATAAATCTGTCCTCCTCCATTCTCCACACAGTCAGAGGGGTCTTAACTAAAAACAATTTTTATCAATCATGTCCTTGTTTAAAACTTCTCTCTAGAGAGCTTCCCACTTCTCTGAGAATAATGATCAAAGTCCTTATTAGACTATTGGCCTTATAGGGTCTGGACCCTGCCTGTATCACCAGCATCAATCTGCTCCCTTGGTTTTCTTTACCAGAAAGTTTTCTCCACACCAGCTTTCTTTCAGGGGCTTCTCATTCCTTCCTGGCCCCTGGTCCTTTCGTGTGCCATACCCACTTTCTGGGGTGATCTTCTATTCCCCAATCCATCTCCTTTGTTCAGTTAAATTAATCGAAGTTTGGTTAAATGTGACTTCCTCAAGGAAGCCTTCCCTGACTACTGGGATCTCGGCAGTCCCCTAGAGCTTGATGTCACAGAACTTACAGCAGCTGGAAAGGACAGGCTGGTGTCTCTAGCACCTGTTTCCACAATAGAATGTCACCTGCATGACAGCAGGGGCTGGGTCTGCCTTATTCCCCTTAACATCTCCAGGGTAGCACCAGAAGGCATTCATTCGATACTGGTTGAATGAATAACCACCCAGAGGCTGATGAGAGCCACAGAGAGAAACGGAAACCAGGAGAACCAGCTATGGAAGAGGAGAAGCCCAGAGTGTTCTTGCTTAAGTGTCCCTTTATACTTTTTTATGAGTCCTTTCTTTTCTATACTTTGAGGCAAATGACAAGTAAAAGGGGGACTTTTTGAACAGAGGGAGAAAAGGCACTTACCAACTTCCCATGTGATGTCTTGCATTTCTTGTCTGTGCTTTAGATACATGGGCCACACATGGCCATCAAAGTATCCTGGAGAGTCTGGAGGCTCATAGACCCTTGTACTATCAAAACATGTAGGAAACTTTATGTTGACAGAAACACACAATTGATAAAGTAAAATATGAATGGTCAGGATAATGGAGAAATCACTCAGAGGCTGAATCTAAACAGTGTGCTACATGTTTTAACTCAGTGGCAGTTAGAAAGACAGTAGTAACGTGGATTTAGTTCTCTGATCCTAAAATTAATTTTGTAATCCACTGACTATCATTCTTAATTATCCTTTTTCCTTCTAGTGCTTTATAAGAGAATTAAGAGACAAATAGTGTAAATAATGATGGAGAGACCACTATGTTGGATTAAGCTTTGAACTAATTGGTGTTCTCTGTAGCTGTGGCAGAACAGGCTCACTCACATTAAAATCATAATCACCATGGGCTTGTTTTGTTTGAGGATTTAGGAGAAATGAGCCAAAAGCTTGATATAAGGCGCTTTTCTTAGAAAGTAATTTGCATTACTTTGTGTGGATGACCATTTATGGAAAAAGGTTTTGCTCCTTTTATAAAGAAGAGTTAAGGCTTCCTGTGTCTGAAAAATGACATTGCTCAATAATGTTGCTGTCCTCATTTTTCTTCTAAATTTTTTGTTTTGAATTACAACTCACAAAGATGATTTCAAAACTTACCTCCTCCTCCTTTTACATTCTTCATATGGAATAGTCAGGAAATAGCTTCTATTCCATATAGTGTCAAGGGGCCTAAAATAACAGCATACTTAGTTCACAAGGGTTTTTCTTCCCCCCATTCACTTAGAGCCAATATTAGAGTGGAGATGCTTACTTATAATTAAAAAGAAGAAAACCTTCGATGATTAAAATGGGAATTTCCTCAGCACTTTCCCGGTCTGTTGATGCCACAGAGCGTCTTGCGCTTTCCATCCAGCAGGAAATGGTTGACATCATTTTTTCCATGTTAAGAGCTTCAAGCACTTCAAACACACACACAAAAATATGCAATCAATATAGCAAAACATTTTGTGATGTGACTTTTTGTGATGTATATATCCAGGATTCTGTAAATATATAGACCACCATTTTATTTCCCTTCAAAACTCCTAATAACAAATATTTTAGATGACACTTTGAAACTCTAATACTGATAAACCAGAGTGAAACGTTTTTATTACGGAAAATTTCAAACATACAAAAAAGTAAAGTACAGTGAACTCCTACGTCCCTAATACCAGCTCTGACAATCAGAAACCCATGGCTAACCTTGCTTTACTTATAACTTTGATTCTCTCCTGACTACACAAAAATGTAAAATTTTTAGAAGATGAAATATCTACAGATAAGTTTGAAAGATACATGACTCATGGGGGGAAATACCTGTAATGTCTTTGGCAAAGAGTTAAGATATTTAATTAGCAAGAGCTCTTCTAGATAAATAATTAAAAGTCAGACTATTTGTAAAGAACACAAATATGTCATTGTCACACTCTAAAATGTACATGCTTCTTGAGCTAATCGTGATTTTAGAAAAGTAGCCTATAGCTTTTAAAATATGGTACTTAAACCAGTAGTATTAGCATCACCTGGGAACTTGTCAGAAAGGCAAATTCTCAGCTCCACTCCAGAACTACTTAATTGAGCCAACAGCACTTAACAGTGTTTTTTAGCGGAAGGTTTTTCAATGATGGATTAATTTATTTAGTAGACATAGGACTATTAAGGTTTTGTTTTTCTTTGTTCTGGTGTTAGTTTTGATAAGTGATGTCTTTCTAGGAAACTGTCAATTTCACCTAACTTTTCAAACTTATTTGTATAATGAGTGTTCATAATATCCTTTTATCTCCTTAATGTCTGTAGGGTTTACAGTGATATTTTGCTTTTGGAATTTGTAATCTGTTCCATCTCTATATTTTTTATCAGACTTAGTTAACCTGGGGATTGCTCAGATTCTTGAAGTTTTATGTCTTAAACCAAATTTGAGAAGTTTTTTTTTTAAACCATTACCTCTTGAATACTTTTTTAGTCCCACACTTTCTCCTGAGACTTCAAAGATACGAATATTAGATCTTTCATTATTGTTCCACATTTTTATTCATTTATTTTCAGTCTATTCTCTCTCTGTTGAGAATAATTTGTATTGTTCTGTCTTTAAGTTCACTAATTATTTTCTCTGTCGTACTTACTCTGCTACTGAGCCAATCCAGTGAGTTTTCAAATTTTGATTAATGTATTTTTTCCATTCTAAAATTTCCATCTGGTTCTTTTTTCAAATCTTCTATTTCTTTACTGAGGCATTCTAGTTTTTCACTTGTTTCAAGCCTGTTTGCAATACTATATTTAAAGCCTTTTAATAACGCTGCTTTAAATTCTTTGTCAGATAATTTCAACATCTGTGTCATCACGGTATTGGTGTTTATTGATTCATTTTTCTTGGTTAAGTTGAAACTTTTTTGGTTCTTGGTAAAACAAGTGATTCTCAGTTGTGTCCAGGACATTTTAGATCCTGTGTTATAAGGCTGTAGATCCTATTTAATCTTCTTTTGCAGGCAGTCACCCTGTTCCGGTATAGCTTGCAGGTTCAGGTGGGGGCGGATGCTCTGCTTCCTGCTAGGCCCTGCTGATGGGGGAAGTTGGTCCATTGTGGGAAGAGGGGGTCAAGGAGAGTGCCGGTTAAGTTTCATTGCTGCTAGCTGTGGGCAGAAGTTCATCCTTCCACTGGGTTCTGCTGACAGGAGCTGACACCACCTGAGTAAGGAAGGTGAAGTGCCAACCTGCTCCATTGCACACTGCCTCCTTCCACCTGAATACTGCCAGGTGGAGGCGAAAGTGCAGCTACCCATTTGGTTCCACTGATCCAACCCCCGTGGGTGACGTGGAGGGGTGACTCACCCTGCCTTGCTAATGCTGGATGGATCTTCTGGAAGTCCAGCTCCGCACCCAGCTAACACCATGAAGGGAGGACGGTTTTGCCTTTTGTGGCTGGCTAGAGTAGGGTGGATATTATCAAAAAGGTTTTCTATTCTGGTAGGCCACCCTTTTCCTTGTTCCTTTTTCAGCCTGTGCCCATGGATGGTTTCATGTTTTATACTTCTCTCCTGTATAGGTAGGAAGCAAAAGGAAAACCCAGGGATCCCATAGCCATGTCATTCCTCACATCCTGGGATCTCTAGCCAGCATGCCTTCTTTTTTCCCTTCAGTCTTCCTTCGTCTGTTTGTTGCATTATGTCCAGGGTTTTTCATTGTAGGAGGGAGGACCAGTGAGCAACGGGACTAATCTGTCTTGGCTGGAACCAGCAGTCTTTCTAGTTTTGATGTATTTTTGTGATCATTCATTAAAAATATTTTCTAATTTTCATTATGATTTAGCTTTTGACCCAAGGAATAGATATGTGTTTTGCTTCAGATAAAATACAATTGATGTTTGGGATTTGCTTGAAAACAATATAGATGAATAGAGTGGGTGAGGGTATAGATGAAATATAATTGGTCAAAATTTCATCTTATTAAAACTGGATGGTGAACTCATGAGAGAGTTCATTATACTTTTCTGCTGACCTCTGCATATGTTTGAAATTTTCCATTAGAAAAAGTTTTTGAAAATCAGAAAAAAGGGTAATGCTTACTTTTCAAACACTTGGTTATTGCTTTTTAATTTCCTTCATGGTGATTACAGAGTATCGTTATATTTCTTCAATCCATAAAGTGTATTAGGACTTACTCCATGCCCTTGCATATATGGACTATTTGGGGTAATATATTCCATGTACTCAAGAAAAAAAATATGTATTCTGCTGTTATTAGGTGCATGTTCTGTACATGTCAGTTTTTGGTCAAGTTAGTTAATTGTATTGTTCAAACATGTTATATCATTAGTAATTTTTGTCTGCTAGTCCCATTAGTGGCTGTTATGAGCTGAATGTGTCCCCCTATGTTAAAGTCCTCATGCCCAGTTCTCCAGAATGTGACTTCATTTGGAAATATGGTCATTACAGATACAATCAGTTAAGGTGAGGTCACACTGGAGTAGGGTGGGCACCTGATCCAATATGATTGATTACAGAAGGAGAAAATTCAGACACACACATAGGGACAGTACCATGTGGAGATGAAGTCAGGGACTGGGGTTGATGCAGCCGAAGCCAAGGCTGCCAGAGATTTCAGCAAACACCAGAAGCCGGGAGAGGGGCACCGAAAAGAGTCTCCCTCACAGCCTCAGAGGGAGCCCAGCCTGCTGACACTTGGATCTCAGACTTCTGGCCTCTCAAATTGTGAGACAATAATTTTCTGTTGTTTCAGGCATTTTGTGGTACTTTGCTACGTTGCCCTAGCAAACTAATACACAAAGGAAGTTGTGTTAAAATCCCCCTCATTAGCTGCGCGTGGTGGCTCACATCTGTAATCCCAGCACTTTGGGAGGCTGAGGTGGGCAGATCACCTGAGGTCAGGAGTTCAAGACCAGCCTAGCCAACCTGGGGAAACCCCATCTCTATTTAAAAAAAAAAAAAAAAAAAAAAATTAGCCAGGCATGGTGGTTCACGGCTGTAGTCCTAGCTACTTGGGAGGCTGGGGCATGAGAATTGTTTGAACCTGGGCAGCAGAGGTTGCAGTGAGCCAAGATCACACCACTGCACTCCAGACTGGGTGTCAGAGTGAGACTCCATCTCAATAAAAAACCAACCAACCAACAAACAAAAAACTCCCACGCCAATTGTGGATTTGTGTCTTTCTCTCCTCTTAGCTCTGTCAGTGTTTAATGCATTTTAATGTTATGTTATTAGGTAGATAAAAATTTTAGGTTGTTTTATTTTCCTGTCAAAGTAACTCATTTCTCTCTATCTCAGTAAAACTCGGCCTTAAAGTTTACTTTGTCTGGTATTAGTATAGTTGCTAGAGTTATAACAGTTCTTTCGGTAGGTGTTTCCATCATGGATCTTTTTCTAGCCTTTTACTGCCTATATTTCTATGTTCTTATACTTAAGTCCATTTCTTTCATTTTTTTTCTTTTTTGAGACAGAGTCTCGCTCTGTTGCCCAGACTAGAGTGCAGTGGCGCAACCTTGGCTCACTGCAACCTCTGCCTCCCAGGTTCAAGTGATTCTCCCGCCTTGGCTACCCGAGTAGCTAGGACTACAGTTGTGAGCCACCGCACCCAACTATTAAGCCTTTCTCTTTTAAGGAACTTACTGTTGGCTTAGAAAAAAAAATACCAGTGTGACAATTTTTGGAGTATTTTACTTCCTTTCACTTAATGTGGCTACTAGTATATTTGGACTTAAATCTATCATCTTACTATTATTTTCTATTTTTCCACCATCTTTTGAATTTTTTTTTTTTTTTGACACAGTCTCACTCTGTCACCTAAGCTGGAGTGCAGTGGCATATCTCGGCTCACTATAGCCGTTGCCTCCCAGGCTCAAGTGATCCTCCTGCCTCGGTCTCCTCGGTAGCTGGGACCACAGGTGCGCACCACCACACCCGGCTGATTTTTGTATTTTTTGTAGAGACACAGTTTTGCCACATTGCTCAGACTGGTCTTGAACTCCTTGGACCCAAGTAATCTACCCACCTTGGCCTCCCAAAGAGCTGGGCTTACACGTGTGAGCCACCGTACCCGGTCATCCTTTGATTTTTAATTTTTGTTTTGATTTCTTTCATATTAATCAACTATATTCCATTGAAAATATAATTATTTCCTCTACAAACTTGATGGTTCCACATTTTAAAACTATCCTGTTTGTGCTTAGAAAGACTTGACTAGTACTTTGATTTACCTTAAATTTGTGCATTTACCTAAAATGTTCAAATCTTTCCTTAAGATAGATTCTTGATGTGAGATGCTTGAAGTCATGGCATGAACATGCTAAGTTTGGGACACATGCTCAACCTCCTTTCCAGAAAGGCTGTACCAATTTATCTATATACTTCCATCTAAAGTATATTAGGGCCTTTGTTTTACTGAGCCCGTGCTATCACTGGATAATTCTCATTGCTTTAAACATCTTCGTTTACTTGGTAAGTGGGAAAAAAAGTAATTTACAGTTCTTTAAGGTTGACTTTTATCGTACATTTATCAATCCAATAACTGACTGCTTCTAGGAAGAGCTTATTCACAACCTTAGGCCCTTTTCCTACTGGGATATTAGTTTTTCTTACCAGTTTGTAAGAATTCATTAAAAATTAGAAATAGTAATTCTTTTCCAATTGTTGAAAACTGTTTTACCCTGTTTTTCACCCTTCCTTTGCAATGATTTTTCTCACTAACCTCTGGACGAGAGGAAGAGAAGAAAAAAAAAAAGAAAAAATGATCCTGGCTGCAACTCAAGCTGCAAGAACAGAGAGTGAGTCAAGAATTTTGCCTCTCATAAAACTATTATGTGTCTATAAGAACTGATCATATAACACTTTTCCTAAAAGATTATCAGTTAAAAATAGAGAACATACTTTATGACTTTTTAAGAGAGCTCCCTCTGTTACTAGTTTGTATAAGTACTCAATGATCATCTTTTTAATTGTAAAGGTTAATAAGACCACCAAGTATTAAACAGCCTATTAGCATGATATTCTCTACAGAAAATGTTTTAGGATAGACTATAATCCTTTGGCTTCAAAACTGTTAGCTTGGAGTAAGGAATGAGGAGAATCCATGTAAAATATGTTCACAAAACTTTCTGAACAGTAAAAAAAACAAAACCAAACCACAGCTGTCTAGTACTTTGGCCACCAGGAAGGCAAGCTGAAAGAATGAGAGAATATAGTTTGCTCCAGGCAAAATTCTGTCATGGGGTGGTTGAGGGTGACCAATAGAGCTACTTATACATCTCCAGAACAGGAATAGGCAGAGGAACAGCAAGTTTAACTTGCTTCAGAAGAAAACCCTATGATTCCACGTGGAGAAAGGGGAACCTTCACACACTATTGGGAGGAATGTAAATTAGTACAGTCACTATGCAGAAGTACAGAGATTCCTCAAAAAATTAAAAATAGAACTACTGCATGATCCGGCAATTCTATTACCAGGTATATATCCAAAATAAAAGAAATCAATCTATCCAAGAAATATCTGCACCGCCATGTTTATTGCAGCACTATTCACAAATAGCCAGAATATGAAATGAACCTAAGTACCCATCGATGAAGAAATGGATAAAGAAAGTATGGTGCGTATATGTAATGGAATATCATGCAGCCATAAAAAAAATGAAGTCGTCATTTGCAGCAACATGGATGGAACTGGAGGCCATTATGTTAAATGAAGTAAGTCAGGCACAGAAAGACAAATATCACATATCCTAATGCATATGTGGGAGCTAAAAAAAGTGGATTTCATGAAGATAGAGAGTAGACTGGTGGTTACCAGAGGCCTGAAAGGGGAAGCAGGTGAGGGGAATGAAGGGAGAAAAAAATATATTTATTACCAATGAACTGTACACTTAAGATTGGTAAAGATAGTAAATTATATAGGCATATTTTACCTCAATTAAAAAGAAGAAAAATCTATCATTCCCGTGTTTTCAGTTTTATTATTTTTATTTTAAAAATACACATATTTTTGAGACAGGGTCTCACTCTGTCACCCAGGCTGGAGTAGAGTGGTGCGACCTGGGTTCACTGCAGACTCAGCTTCCTGGGCAAAGTGATCCTCCCACTTTAGCCTCCAAAGTAGCTGTGACTACAGGCATGCACCACCACACCTGGCTAATTTTTGTATTTTTTTGGGTAGAGATGGAATCTCCCTGTGTTGCCCAGGCTGGTCTCAAACTCCTGAGCTCAAGTGATCTGCCTGCCTCGGCATTCCAAAGTGCTGGCATTACAGGTGTGAGCCTCCAAGTCTGGCCCCAATGTTTTCAGTTTTAAATATAAAACTGGAAAAAGGTTTTCACTTATTTAAATAGTTCAACAGAAATCAGAAAACTACAAAGGCAGGCTTAAAGTACAGCAATATATTTAAACACATTTTAAGACTGTCTTCACAGATACAGTAAAGTTCTTTTTTTAAATTTTTGTTTCGCAGAACCATCAAGTTCAACATAGTGAAGTTCTTTGGGTTTGAAAAAGAAAATGAACATAAGCATACAATATTTGACAAGCAAATCTACTTACCATCATACTGCAAAAATCCATTTTTATCTGTCTCTATCTCAGACTCTGGCTGGAAAAATAATAAAGTACCCATCAAAATAGTGTGTAGGAAAGAAATAATACAATTATAGACTAAAGAGGAGATAAGTTTTTAATAAATGCTTTGGATGAGCAATTAAAGATCAGCACTGATAGACAGTGCCATCTAGTGGATAAGTAGCACCATTGCACTGAGCCTAATTTCAATACAAAAGGTACATCACTCGCCAGACTTCTTGGATGTAATTCAATTAACTTGGTGGTTAAACCTTTTTGTATTAAATAAATAATTTAAGAAGTTTTATAGATACCTTGAAAAAATCATCCTGAGAAATGACACTGCAATTTGGGAGGTGTTTCTGCAAATTCTTAGCCAGTGTTGTTTTCCCACCGTTTGTCACACTGAAGCAAAGAAAAGTACCAAGAAGGAAAAACCATTAAAAATCATTAAACACTTTTTTTTTTTTTTTGAGAGACGGGGTCTCGCTGCGTCACCAAGGCTGAAGTGCAGCGGTGCGATCTTGGCTCACTGTAACCTCTGATTCCTGGGTTCAAGTGATTCTCCTGCCTCAGCCTCCCGAGCAGCGGGGATTACAGGTGCCACAACCATACCCGGCTAATTTTTGTATTTTTAGTAGAGATGGGGTTTCGCCATGTTAGACAGGCTGGTCTGGAACTCCTGACCTCAGGTGATCCACCTGCCTGGGCCTCCCGAAGTGCTGGGATTACTTCGGGCGTGAGCCCTGGCCAAAAAATCATTAAACACTTTAAAATATTTTAAAAGAGGATATTTAAAGCAATATTTAATATTTAAGAAAAAAAGATTTCTTTCATAGATAGTGCCTTAAACCACAGGCACCAGCAGATCTGATGTACTAAACGATAAGAAATAAGCTGGGAAAGATGAAGGAGAAAGGTAACTGCCGAGTAAGTGAACTGAGTAACACTAACACTTAAAAATACACTGTGTTGGAAGCGAAATGTTTTTTTGCCTATGTCAAAATATTCACATGGTTCATATGCAACACAGAGAATATGAGTAGCACATTTTAGTGCAAGTGTATAAAACTACATATGGTCACTGTGATTTTGCTTCAAGGCACAGTGGAAAAAACAGGAGTGGCTTAGTACAAGCCCACCTACCATGAAGTCACACTTCCTCTGTGGTGCCTCCTCTTCCCCATCTCTCTCCACCTGGGGGCCAGCTGGCAGGTCCGCTGTGGCTTATCCCATCAGGCCAGATATTTGTCCCTTCTGGCCGGACCATGAAGTCCAGGAGAAGGGGCACTGAGTCACTCCTCTTTAGATCTAGTTTCCCAGCGTCTAGGAGATCACACGGGAAGGAGGTACTTCCCTACTCAGTCGTTTATTGAAAGAGTGTTTTAACCTGGGACTCATGTCTGTGAACATAAGTCAGGGCATTTGTGAACTTGAATGAGAAAAAAATTATACCTTTAATTTCACTGAATTCTAACAGAACTTTAGCATCTCCTTTAATTATAAATATAAGTGATATAAGTACCCCTGACATTCACCAAGAGAAATCACAGATATTTTCATATTATGTTGCAGTTGGGTTGGATATCTTGAAGTATCATCAATGTTCATTATTACTTCTGATTTATAGCATTGTTTAGACCCACCTCTGGATATTGTTATTTAATATATTGACATAGAAGATTATATATCACAATATCACAAATTTGTTTTTAAAAATAATTTGATAACTATATTTCAATATAATCAATTTCCTTTGTATTCCTGTATTTTATTTTGTACACTTAAAACTATTACTCTGAGGTCAAGATTTCACCATACCACCAAATGTTCACAGCACAAAAAACTCCTGACTACACATCTATTTGTAAGAAATGCTGCTTAATCCCAGATGAGATCAATCCACAAATACTTATAATCTAGAAAAGGGAAAATGAACTAATATCCATTCATCAAAATGGCCTGCATATAACTCTACTATTACATTATACCTCAAGGTAGAAGGAACCTGATTCACAAGATTTCTCATTTAACCTTACGATACACGATTGGGTAGGATATGGGCCATCTCTTTGAAAATAAGGAAAAGGGAGTGGGTGCTACCCTATGTATCGAGACAATATTACAACTTTTCCCCCTCTTTAACAAAAATGTCTGTAAACTATACCAAGTATCCATAGTTTAGGTATTAAGTTTTGGTTTAAATGAGATAGTGAATGGGAGTGACTTTATTACAATATGAACAATCTGGCTGGAAAAAAATCTGTCATTTTCTAGACTTATCTCTGTTAAGATCATGCAGTCAAGCCAACAGTAGTAATTAGATCCTTTCTCACTGACTTAGCTAAAGCCAATGAGAAATACACACCCCATTTTTGCACAAGCCTTGGAGGAGACAGACCGGCTAGAAGATAGTCTGAGATACGGAGAGGAGAGAAGAGAAAAAGTATTTAAACAAGCCTGCACCTAAAATCCACACTCAGACTGGGAGACATCCTGGTCAGGTGACAGCTCAGGCCACCCACAACATGGGGGAAAGGAATAGGATGGGGGAAAGGAATAGAAATGGGGGAATAGGATGGGGGAAAGGAATGGGGGAAAGGAATAGGAAGGTCACCCAAAACATATGGGAAAGGAATAGGAACCTTCTCCTATGGCACACCCACAACCACCACGTGCAGCACACTGACAGCCTTGCTCGCATGTGCTATCCAACCTGAGGAGAAGCGTGCCCAGTGTGCTCAGATCCTAGGATCCTAGGAAGGAAAAAGGGTGACTACTTGGTGCCGCTCCCTTCTTTGCTCACAACACCCAAATAAATGCACAGCTCCTGGCCCATTTATTTTTTTATGTGCCAGGTAACAAGAGGGCTCATTGTATTAGGACATAAAAGTGGACTAGGGAGAAGTTAAAAGGCTGTCTGTAATTATTTAAACACATGGAGAATACATTCTGCAACAGGTAGATGTTAATATTCCAATTTTCCAGTTGAGGAAACTAAGGATTGAGAAGTTGTATAGTAATAAAACCAGTCCATGTTAAGAAATGGAGATGGGATACAAAGTCTAATGCCAGGATGGATTTTATTTTTTTTTACATTGTGGGACTCTGAGAGAATACCACAAAGGTTATCATATCTTTCCCTAGTGACTGAGTTTGGATGTTTGTCCTCTCCAAATGTCATATTGAAATGTGATCCCCGGCTGGGCACGGTGACTCACACCTGTATCCCAGTACTTTGGGAGGCCGAGGTGGGCAGATCACCTGAGGTCAGGAGTTCAAGACCAGCCTGGTCAACATGGTGAAACCCCGCCTCTATTAAAAATACAAAACTTAGGCTGGGTGCTGTGGCTCGCGCCTATAATCCCAGCACTTTGGGAGGCCAAGGCAGGCGGATCATGAGGTTAGGAGATCAAGACCATCCTGGCTAACACGGTGAAACCCCGTCTCTACTAAAAAAATACAAAAAAATTAGCCGGGCTTGGTGGTAGGCGCCTGTAGTCCCAGTTACTCCGGAGGCTGAGGCAGGAGAATGGCGTGAACCCGGAAGGTGGAGCTTGCAGTGAGCCGAGATCAAGCCACTGCACTCCAGCCTGGGCGACAGAGCAAGACTCCATTTCAAACAAACAAACAAACAAAAACAAAGAACAAAAATTAGCTGGGCATGGTGGTGCATGCCTATAGTCCCAGCTACTTGGGAGACTGAGGCAGGAGAATTCCTTGAACCCGGGAGGTCGAGGCTGCAGTGAGCTGAGATTGCACCACTGCACGCCAGCCTGGGGACAGAGCGAGGCTCTGCTCAAAAAAGAAATGTGATCCCCAAGCTGGAGATGGGGCCTGCTGGCAGGTGTTTGGCTCATGGGGGCAGATCCCTTATGAAGGTTTTGGTGCCATCCCCATGGTAATGAGTGAGTTCTTGCTCTGTTGGTTCACATGAGAGCTAGTTGTTTAAAAAGTCTGAGACCTCCCTCTCACTCTCTCTTTTTTTTTTTTGTTTTGAGATGGAAGTCTCGCTCTGTCGCCCAGGCTGGAGCGCAGTGGCGTGATCTCAACTCACTGAAAGCTCTGCCTCCTGGGTTCACACCATTCTCCTGCCTCAGCCTCCCGAGTAGCTGGGACTACAGGCGCCCATCACGCCTGGCTAATTTTTTGTATTTTTACTACAGATGCGGTTTCACCGTGTTAACCAGGATGATCTCGATCTCCTGACCTTGTGATCTGCCCGCCTTGGCCACCCAAAGTGCTGGGATTACAGGTGGGAGCCACTGTGCCCAGCCCCATCTCACTCTCTCTTGCTCCTTCTTCTGTCATGTGACATGCTGGATCCCCTTCTCCTTCCACCATGAATGTAAGCTTCCTGAGGCCCTCATCAGAAGCACGTACCAGCACCATGCTTCTTGTAGAGCCTGCAAAACAGTGAGCCAAATAAACCTCTTTTTCTTTATAAATTACTCAGCTTCAGGTATTCCTTTATAGCAAGACAAATGGACTAACACACCCAGAAAAATGACTATATTTACATTTGTGTTAAATCTCCAGGAGGTTCATGGATACCCTCTGAAATCCTTCAGAATCCCTGTTATTTGCAATTGAATAATTACTGTTATTACTTCCCTATGAAGTAATAATTCGGTCGAGACTTATTGGACAATTACTTCGTAGGGAAGCAAGTGGTTAAGTTCATAAGATGCAAGACAGGAACAAAAGTCGCCATAACTGAATCTGGCATGGGCTTCACAGGTACAGCAGCACTAAAATGAAATCAAGGCACTTGGCCAGCAGCAGTGGCTCATCCTTGTAATCCCAGCACTTTGGGAGGCCCCAGTGGGAGGACTGTTTGAGGCCAGGAGTTCAAGACCAGCCTGGACAACATAGTAAGACCCTATCTCTTAAAAGAGAAAAAGGAGAAATCATGGCACTTGCTAAAGAAAAGATAGTGGGAAGAAGGCTTTCTTAGGAAGTTATGGATAGTACCTAGTGCACAGGACAAGACAGGAGGTAGGTTTCTAGGTATATGGCCCTGTATTGGGACATTGAGCAGAGGGAAATCTTATTTACATAAATGCCAAATGAGGGTTGGATTGGATCCTGTAGTGGACTCTGTAGTTGCCTTTCCAGGTTCTATGTCTGTTTTCTAGGTCTGGTTGGAACTGCTCCCACTCTCAATTCCAGAACAGAACCCACTGACCTAAACCAATCAATGTAATCCCACCTCTTTTACCACGGTGGCTGCGTGTATGTGGACCACACTTGTCCAGTCAAAGGGAGACCTATAACCTAGGGGAAGAGAAGTATTTCCCCTTCTGCCCAGTGACAGGCTATGAAGAAACAAGTCACAGGGCTCCTAGCAGTTCCTTGTGACCAAAAGGATAAGTCAGTTCTAAGATGAACCCAAATGAAAGACACATAGAAGAGAGAAAAACTGTCTTTGGTGATACCACTGAGCTCCTGTATCAAATCTTTCCTGCAGCCTGCTACCCCTGAGGCTAATACATTTCCTTTATTACTTACGGATAGCCTTCATATACCATGATATTCAGATTTAATTCTCAATAACTGGGAACCACTGAATATCATTCATCAGGCAGATAATTAAAATGTTCTGTATGAAGTTTAAACTGGTAGAGGTGTGTAGGAAAGATTAGAAGGGAAAGATGGGGACTAGGGAATGACAGCCTATATCAGGATGGTGGCAGTGCGTGCGGGAAGGAAGAGAAACACAAGAGAAGTACTGCAGAGAAAAACTGAACTTTTCTTCTGATTAGATGGGAGGCAAAGCAGAGTTCTGACATTTAGTTCACTCAATTTTACTTCTGATTGGTGACTTACTATGGTAATGTAATACCATAACACAATGATCTCCCTAAAATTACAAAGAAAGTAGTCTCATATTTTATTAACTGGGTCACAAATAATGTGAACATAATATGGTAGCAAAACAAATAATGTCATTTTCAGTTGATGTTGATGTTTTATTTGCATGCCTGCCTCTGCGACCACAGGTAGGGTGACCATATAATTTAGAACACGTTTGAGAGAAAGAGAGGTGCATCCAGGACCACAAGTATTAGCTTTGGCAACATGGGACATAAGGCTACCCAAAACATGCGGGAAAGGAATGGAGGTAAAGGTGTTCTCTATAGCACATGTCTGAAGGTGGGCACAGTTGGAAAGGAACACTAAGCTTTCTCCTCCGTCATGATGGAGGAACACCCATATGGGGAATGATAAATCATCCTGAATGAAAGCAGTGCCCAATCAGACCTTGCCTCTGGTGTTAGCTCCACAAAATAAAATGGAAAGTGGGTAAACGTGGTTGACGGACTCTTCTGTTTCTCTGTTTATAGAAAACTCTCCCATCTCTTGTTGGCATTTATGACGCCAGCACTCCACTGATATCCCACAGTGGTCTGCTCTTCCCCAGGACTCTGGAATCCTCACTGCTTCTCCGTCCCCTACTCCATCCACACGGAAACACCATTTGCACATCCTCAGTATCTTAAAGAGCTGTTTGTACCAAAATTACTCACCCACTGATTCCAACGATAAATGTTTTCATAATTAGCTTTGAAAACCACAGCTTCCTAATATTTCCTAAAAGTAAAAAAAAAAAAAAAAAAAAATTCAAATGCATTTCATTTAGATGTCTAGGGAGATAAAGAATCCTAAATTGGGAGCACCAGCTGAGAGGGGAGGGTGACAGTGACCTCTCAGCACAGCCCCGCATTATCCACATTCCCTGCCGTACTGGCTTCCCCTGCTACCACTGAGTGCCAGCAGCCGGGGCGTGCTCAGGGCCTCTCAACCAGTTCAACGTCAGGTGAGCTGCGGAGCACTCCCCCTTGCATGTCTGTTTTCCAGGCGTGGAAGAGTTGCTAGGCCACAGTGTGGTATATGAAGTTTCCTCCTCTCCTTAGCCAGGTTGCCTTCCACCTGCACAGTTCAGTCACCTGGGTATGACTCATTATCAGTGAGGCAGGGACCTCTGTGGGCTGGCCTCTTTCTCCTCTTATAAGACAGGAAAAAAGTCACTGCTGACCAGAGGCAAAATGAAGCTAATGCTGTTTAAAGACGAGATTTCTTCACCCAAAAGCCTAGATCTTGGGCCTGGCTAGGTACATGTTTTTTGGAAACAGGCCAGATAGTAAATATTTGACGCTGTGTGGGCCAAGAGGCAAAATCTAAATTGTTATGTATGGACTTATATAACAAGAGAAAAAATATTTTCACAAATTTTTGTGATGAAATTCAATATATAATCATAATTTTTTTTAACAGGTCTACTAATGACAAGAATGAAATTCCCTTTTATTGGGCTATCATTTCCCTTAATTGGATTTCTGTAGTGCTTTCTACATGAAACTGCAAATGTTCAGGCAGAGGGCCAGGTTAAGCCACCAGCTGCTGTTTTGTGGACCTTTGGCCTAGGGGATGGAGGGCAGTTTCATACATGCCTCCCTAAGGTTCACTAAAGCAGTCCTTGGTTATTACAATGGGCCATTTTTCATCATTAAGTGAAAAGGTGAAGCGCAGCTGGAGGGAACCTTAATAGTGGCTGCTGAAGGTCATCTCTGACAGTCACTGTTCTTCATTCCTATCTGCTCAGGGGGGTGGCCAGGGACCTAGGCTGTGTAGCCAGGGGCAAGTGGCTACCTGTCAAGCTGGAGGCTCCCAGCAGTGCTCCAGTTCCTATGATCTGTGTCCACACTCTCCCTGGGGAGGGGTTATGCAGAAAAAAGCCTGGTGGGGAAAGGGCTATTGTTGCCTGACTTCTTGGCCTTTCTAGAATATTCCACATTGAGTACAATTGCTTAACACTGGGTCCAATTCCATTAACAAGTCTGTGTGAGACAAGAATTCAATAATGACTGTGATAAAATAGCAGCCGGGCACAGTGGCTCATGCCTATAATCCTGGCACTTTGGGAGGCCAAGGCAGGCGTATTGCTTGAGCTCAGGAGTTTGAGACCAGTCTGGGCAACATGGTAAAACGCTGTCTCTACCAAAAATACAAAAGATTGGCCAGGCATGGTGGTGTGCTCCTGTAGTTCCAGCTACTTCGGAGGCTGAGGTGGGAGGATTGCTTGAGCCCGCAAGGTGGGGGTAGCAGTGAGTGGAGATTGAGCTGCTACACTCCAGTCTGGGTGACAGCGAGACCCTGGCTTAAAAAATAAAATAAAATAGCAGAACAAGTTGGATATTTGAGTTTCATCCAGAGTTATGTTGTTGAATCACATCTCCATCCAAATTTACAAGATGTATCAAGGGAACGACTGCATACAATGAATATTGTAAAATACATTTTTATGTTGTAATTTTTCTGCTTTTGAATTTTATTTTACCCTATTCTTATTTTTTCGGTATGTCAGTGCAATGATGCCAACTAGCCTTATTTTGGGAAGGGAGAGGCTGCTCTTTATCTCACTTTTGTGGCGATAAATGTTCTTTCTCTTACAAAATTATGTTGTCAAAAATTGTTAGCAGAGTGATATCCTCACTTGACCAAATAAAATAAAAATTCATAAAACTTTGTCATTCCTTGCCCCCATTTCACTTATTTTTGGATAGCTCGCTGAAGCATAAATTCTCAAACTTGGAGAAGTATAGCTTTAGAGATTACTTGGTCTACCTCTTCATTTTGCAGAAGTGGAAACTGGCTCAGACAATAGAGCGATTTGCCTAAGGTCACACAGACAGTAAGTGGAAAAGCCAGATATGAAACTAAACCAGTTGAGTTGACTTCTTTCCATCACTCCAAGCTGCTAAAAAGCACTTTATTACTAACAGCAAAGAAAGGGTGTTACATATGTGCTAGCTTAATTGTCAGGCTCTGATGGATAATTGATGTCATTCTTACTGATGTATTATTGATGGGGCACTATTTGCTGTGCACACAGAATGGAAAGGACTACTGGTCCCCGTCCTAATTGCCACATCTGTGCTTACACGTGTGACTGCTGCATCAATTACATGGCATGTAAATAACAAGTGAGCATGGTTGTGGCACGGGAAATAGGCTTGAGGGGGTTACTTGCATTCAGGAACCAGGAGTGAGATGGCATAAAAAACTCACTTATAAAATCTCTTGGATACAGTGAAATGTAAGTTTTGTTTTTGTTTTTTAACCAAAACAGGAACTCCCAGTTCTACACTAGTTAGCAGTCTGGGCCTGTCCAAGCCAGTGTTTGGGTAAATGCTGGGCATACCCTATCAGCAATGAGCAGGTAACAATGTGACCGGAAGGGTGGGCAACTGGAACATGCAGAGACAAGAGAGGCAACAGGGCTAAGTGACTAGGGTGGGTGGGGGTGGGCCTAGCAATCCCTGAAGTCATTTATTTCAAAAACAGTGTGCATGCACAGGGCAGCTTTAGGGGAGCTCCAGGTCCAGGCCTGGCACTGTCCACCTCCACATCATGTTCTACTGTTTCATTGCCTGTTGCCCTCTATAAGAACTATTAAAAATCACCAAGGTGGCCGGGTGCGGTGGCTCACGCCTGTAATCCCAGCACTTTGGGAGGCTGAAGCGGGCAGATCACAAGGTCAGGAGATCAAGGCCATCCTGGCTAACACGGTGTAAACCCTGTCTCTACTAAAAATGCAAAAAAGTAGCTGGGCGTGGCGGCGGGCACCTGTAGTCCCAGCTACTCGGGAGACTGAGGCAAGAGAATGGCGTGAACCCGGGAAGCAGAGCTTGCAGTGAACTGAGATCGCGCCACTGCACTCCAGCCTGGGTGACTGAGCCAGACTCCGTCTCAAAAAATAAACAAATAAAAAAAATAAAATAAAATAAAAATTAAAAAAAAAAATCACCAAGGCTGCAGTGAGCCATGACTGCGCCCGCCACTGCATTTCAGCCTTGGCGATAGAGCGAGACCTTATCTTGAAAAAAAACCAAAGCAAACAGACAAAAGACAACCCCAAAACTGCCTCCCAAGAAACCAAAAACAAAACAAAACATCAAATTTAAAAAGCTTGCAATTATGATTTGCCAGGCTTCATGAAGCAAATGCAAGCTTCGTACAAACTGTAAATCATGTGATGTGTCCAAAGAGTCATCATTTCAGGGCACGTCTATCACTAGAATCCACACCACCTTCAATCTCATGGAATAATCTGTGTAGTTTATTTTCCCGGTGTGTGCAAAGCTGTCCTCAACAGCAGAGAGCTTTTGCATAGCGGGAGAACAAACTAGGATAGCCAAGAGCAAATCTAAAAATGACTAATTTTTATTTTTTACACTTTTTTTTAACCCTAAGTAAAATGTTGTTGAGTTTTTTTTTTTTTTAATTCAGATGTGTTTATTATGTTTAATTCATTTCACTACTAAACATTTACATTTTGGATTCTAAACAGCAGAAGGGTCAGAAGTGGCATGTGCAGAATCAGCAGATTGTACGAAGAGGGCAGCTCTCTAACGCAAATGATCTGAAAGACAAAGTTCCTGCTAAATGTGCTCTTCAAATGTATCTACGGGACAGCCTGATATTTTAAAAAGAGGAAAATGTTTCCAGGACTTCTCACTCTGTATTCTATTCAATGGCTATTTTGATTCTCTTCTTCCAGGAGATAGGGCAGTCTCTTCCTACTATTGTTTAAACTTTGCTCCCTTTTGGTAAACAAATCCCTCAAGGCTGGGTTGTTTTTTTTTTTTTCCTAAGACAGTCTCACTCTGTCACCAGGCTGGAGTGCAGTGGTGTAATCTCGGCTCACTGCAACCTCCGCCTCCAGGGTTCAAGTGATTCTTCTGCCTTAGCCTCCCGAGTAGCTGGAACTACAGGCGCCCGCCACCACGCCCGGCTAATTTTTGAATTTTTAGTAGAGATCAGGTTTCACCATGTTGGCCAGGATGGTCTCGATCTCTTGATCTCGTGATCTACCCGCCTTGGCCTCCCACAGTGCTGGGATTACAGGCGTGAAGGGCTGGGGTTTTTGAAAACGCAATTCATGCCCCTCCCCCGTTGGTTTCATTTATGTAGGTTCTTGTGTAAATAGTTTTTTCCTTCCCCAAATACACAATTAATTTACAATATTGACTGTTATTTTGAACTTATGCCATTGGCTTCCTTGTGTGCTCCAGTTCTTTCCTCCCACCGAAGATAATATCCGCTAGATCAGGGGTCGGCAAACTTTTTCTGTAAAGTGCCAGATAGGAAATGCTTTGGGGTTTGCCAGCTGCTACTCAACCCTGCTGGGTAATGCGAAAGCGGCCACAGACAACACAGATGCAAATGAGCGTGACTGTGTTCCAGTAAAATTTTACGGACACTGAAATCGGAATTTCATGTAATTTTCACGGACACTGAAATCGGAATTTCATGTAATTTTCACGTGTCACAAAGTATTATATTTCTTTTGATTTCTTTTCAGCCATTAAAAACGTAAAAAAAAAAAAAAATTCTTAGCAGGCCATACAATAACAGGCAGCAGGCGGGCAGTAGGTCATCACCCCAACGCTAGAGGAATGAGACCATCTCGACCCGCGAGGATCGAGTACTGAATCCTGTCCCTGGCGACTTCTCCAAGCTGCGCAGTCTCTTGGAGGCAGAGTTCCCATTTTCAGGATTATGCCAGGGCGCTAGAGCATGAGTCCACGTGTTCCTCGGCAGGCCACCTATCAGTTCTCTGAGGGTGGCAAGAGTCCAGGCAAGGCTTTCAAGGTGTAACCAAGTCCCGAGCTCCAGCACAAAAACCCTCTGGAAACACCTCCAGGCCCCACCAAGGCGGCGCGGCGCGGCAGGGGCGAGCAGGTAAGCACTCACCTGGCGCCAGTTCGAGTCCTCCCAAACACAGCGGCAAGGGCGACAGCCAGGCGTGCGCCTGTCCCCAGTGCGCCGCTACCCGCAGCTCGCTCCCCGAGAGGCCCACAGCCTCTTTCTCCACGATCCTCCTGGATTAGAGGGATGCCAGGTAGGGGTGGCCACCTGAGGCCCCTTTCCACTCCGCTCTGCCCCGGGTTCCAGCCCCCGTTGGGGCGGGGCGGGGCGGGGCGGGGCTACGGCGAGCGCGGCCTCTCCCGCGCGCCCCTGGCCAGCTCCGGCTCTTCCCTATTGGGAGCGCGCGCGGCCCGCGGCACTGGCGCGCGCCCGCTTCGCCCTAGCTCGGCTCCGGCTCGTTCCGCCGCCGTGCGCGCCGCCCGCGCTCCCACTGCGGCGAAGCTGCCAGCCCGGGAGCCAATAAGCGCTCGCCCAGGAAGGGTCCACTTCCTCGTCGGCCCGGCTGGCGCTTAGGACGGCTCCGGCGGCCGTGGGGCGGGGCGGGGCACACGGCGGAGCAGCTCTGCCTGTGTCCGCTCTTTGCGCAGCCAAGGGTGGGCGCCGGTCCTGGGAGGCGCAACGTTGTAAGCCAGACAAAAAGAAACTGGGGTGCCTGAGTGCCAGGTGGCGGGCAAGCGGTGGGCTTTTCGGCGGGGTCTTTAGGATTTGCAGCTCCAGGAAGCGAGATGTCGAAGCCGCCACCCAAACCAGTCAAACCAGGTGAGGGACGTAAGGGAGGCGCTCGTCGGGTCCTCCGGCCGCCGCGGTGCCGGCCCCTCCTCTGCCGCTTGGCAGGGAGGACCCGGCGCGCACCCGGCCCCGAGCCCGGCTTACGAGATCTGCCCCACTGGGATGGGAGCTCTTTTGCGTTCGCTGTTACCGGGGAGGGATCGATTTTGATAGCGAGAGGATTTCGAGGGTTAAAAAATATATATATATATATATTTTTAAAGGGGAGTCGACCTCACTTTTGCTACGTTGTCATTCGCTGAAACTTTCAGAGGGTGTGATGGCAACGTCCCATGGAAGTTTTCCGGAAAGACAGGGCCATTGATCTCCCTTTAAAAAATATCTTGAAATGGTCTTTAGCCACTTCCTCTTTTCTCAGTGTTTGTCACTGTCAAGTTAGGGTTCCTGACCGGCCAGAGCGAACGGGAAGTGCAATGCTTGCAGGGTGGGGTGGGCGAGCGAGCCTCCTTCGGGACTTGGGCTAGGAGCAGCGTTTGAAATTGACCTCGGGATCGTGGAAAGAGCGTTTAGAAAACCCTGTGCTCGCGCTCCTGGTAGAAAGAATCTAGGATGCGAAAGTAATCTCAGCTGTTGCTATTCGGAAGTGTCATTTTATCATCTCCTTTGCCTTCGCTCTCCCAAAGACGTTGGCGTGGTAAACCTGAGAGGACTGAGATTACTACATTCCTCAAAGCAGTTTTCTTGGCGGATTGTCCTTGTTCATTTTTACTCTGTTCTTAGACTATTTTTTGTGATATGCAGAAATAAGAAAATTATGAAAGAAACTGACGTATTTTAATTAAATATTGTAACCTACTCTTCCGCGCGTTCATTTGGGTAGGTACTTAGAAAGGACTGACGTATTTCAATACTTTAACAACTCTTAGGTGCTTTCATTTGGGTAGGTAATTAAGGGAAATACGGGAAATGGAAGATAAATGACTCCGATGTATTCTTGGTTATTTTCACTCCCATCTTGTGTAATTTCGGTATAGCGAAATGCTGAAATTTAATCCATTTACATCAAATTTTGAAGTAACTTTCGTTGCAGGAGTTAAGAGTTTCAGTGATTAATTTTTTCCTTGATTTTCCTAAACTCTACAGCTTTCATACTTGTCTGGTTTTCTTCCTTTGTGTTCCTGCAGTTGGAGTATGAAGTCCCATTATTTGATAATCATGTACATACGTATGTGGAATAGTCCTTCACTGAGGACTGACACATCTCGGTGGGCTGAGTGTGAAGGAAGTTGCTGAGACTGGCTCTTCCCTGAGTAAAGATGGGGCACAGCTAGAGTTGGGCTCTGCATTGCATTAGATGTGGAATCTGATGAGAAATTTCCATTTTAAGTGCATGTGTATGAGGTAGCTTTCTAAACCCAGGTGCAAATCAGGACCTCAAGTATCTAACAATGCAGAGTTGTTCTTTGATAGCTAAACAATATATTTTTTTCCTGACCACCTGCGGCCTATTGAAATACATTATTTTAAAGAATGCCCTGAGAAAAAGTTCATGAGGTTTTTTTTTTCTTTTTTTAAAATCTCTTCAGGCATATTAAATGTCTATATTGAAAATGACAGGTGTGTGTATGTGCACACAGTAGTGTATACTTGTGCATTCATTCACACTTGGGGGTTGAGGGATCATCCTGTTACTAATTGTGGATACATTCCCAGGAACTTGCTTTCTCCTTCACATCAGAAAGCTTGTGGTTAAACGTGACTGGTGTTTAGAGGGAATTTTGCATTTTATTTTATTTTATTTTGTTTTATCTGGTCCTTGATTCAGGATACAGGGAATTTTGAATGAACATTAATTTATAAATGAGATCCAGACACAAAGTTACCACAGAAATGGGTTTGTCAGTTTAGTAATTTACAGTCAGAAACATTACTACCAATCAGACTTGATAATGTGGGTGGGCTACCTTAGTAGAAAAAAAAGCAATGACCAGGAGCAGTGGGTCATGCTTGTAATCCTAGCACTTTGTGAGGCTGAAGTGGGAAGACTGCTTGAGGCTAGGAATTTGAGACTAGCCTGGGCAGCATAGCAAGATCCCGTCTCAACAGTCTCAATATAAAAAACAAAAACAGAAATGTCCTATTGTAGTACTGTCCCACATTTACTGTGTGATAGGCAATGGCCTAGTCACTTTTACATGTGTAAACGCATTTGCTGTTCTCAATAATCTTATGAGGTCAGTACCATTATATTGTTCCCATTGCACAGATGGGGAAATAAAGATGTGCAGAAATGTTATTTAATTTGTCTAAAGTCAAGAGTTGGAGTGGGGGATGTAGCAGGCAGGATTAAAACCCAGGTAGTCTGGCTTTGAAGTATGCACTCTTTTTTTTTTCTGAGATGGAGTCTCCTCTGTTGCCCAGGCTGGAGTGCAATGGCGCAATCTCGACTCACTGCAACCTCTGCCTCCCGGGTTCAAGCAGTTCTCTGCCTCAGCCTCCCAAGTAGCTGGGATTACAGGCGCCCGCCACCAAGCCTGGCTAGTTTTTTGTATTTTTAGTAGAGATGGGGTTTCACCATCTTGGCCAGGCTGGTCTTGAACTCCTGACCTTGTGACCCACCCGCCTTGGCCTCCCAAAGTGCTGGGATCACAGTGGCCTGAGCCACCGCCCCCAGCCGAAGTCTGCACTCTTAACCATTTGCAATTCTGCCTTGAGTCATAGTGCTCCATTCACATTGGTGATCATGTGTATTTTAGAGCTGGTGGTCAGGAAGTCGAAAGGGAGGGGCCTCTGAAGAGGTCTACAGACCCTCTTGTCACAAATGCACAGAAAGGTCACCCCCTGGCTGGTGCAGCAAGGAGAGTGGTGTGGAGCTTCACTTTCTTGTCCTGCAGGCAAGCTACATGGATACAAATCTCCAAAGACAGCATGGGATTGGGGACTCTGGGGTTGTGTTTAATTTTTTGGTTTGTTTATATCCTACCTCATCCCAAAGGACTTCTAAAAATACACATGATCTGAGAGAGAGAGGAAAAAAATAAAGATAAAGCAAGGTCATTTTAGAGGGAGGGAAGAAGAATAAGATGAAACAAGAGGAAAAGCTAGCTTACAGACAGACCTGCGTGTAGTAAGGTCACTGTAGATTTGGCTCTCAGCTGCAAGCCGAGAGAAAAATCTCAAGATTCACAGTGCTCATAAAATTAAAATGTGTCACTTGCTCTGAAAAGTAGTTATTTTAATGGCATTGAGATCTGAGACAGATTTTCCCGTGGGTTCTCTTAAAGTGTTGGAGTGGCCTGGATATCTCTAGCAGAAATACAAGACAGCATATCCTAACTGTGTTTCTTATAGCTTCTTTCAGAGCAAGATGTGGGCAAAACAGCATGGCTCAATTCAGTAGACAATACTGAAAGGAAAGGAGCTAGATGAGTAAGGACAAAGGACTCGCTGGAAGATAGTAAAAGCGAGGGACATTAAGCTATAATGCAGACTAATCGCATCTTTCCGGCTGATCAGCACAACAGGGGCATCGTTGGTGGAAGGAGGCTGAGAAGTCCTGGGCAGATACTAGTTGGAGACCCTGGCCATTTTTGTACCATCTGGTGGATAGATCAGGGTTAGCGTCTTTGGGTTTTTGGCCGTATCCAGAATTCATTTGCTAAACAAACATTTCTTAGTAAATGTAGCTCATATTTTAGGCCCTGTGCTAGACACTGGGGTTCTAAGGAGCAGTAACCTAAGGTGTCATTCACGAGGGTCCTGAGTCTAATGGGGAAGACAAATGTATCTATAGATATTACCTAGAGTATCCCGTATCTACAACTGGATGGCTGATCTCATTCATTTTGTCAAAAAAAAAAAAAGCTTGTAATTAAAAATATAAGTAATTTTTTTATTTTTAGAAAATTTGGGAAAAGGTAATAAATATATAACAAAAATATAGAAATCATCCCTGTCATCTACCGGTAATCATTATTTACATCTGGTTGAATATTGTTTCAGGTTTCTTTCTTCTTCACATCCATTTCATTTCAAAAAAAGAAAATAAAAACAATTATCCTTAGAACAGTGTGTCAGCTTCCATTTGAAATGTCTTGCTGTTGGTTGGTATATGTTTCCAAAAGGCTGCATGGTATTGCCCGCATTCTGCTTGAAAAATCAATTCTGTCGCAGCTTGACCTTTCCTTGCTTACTGATTTTGTTTCTGTAGAATCACTTTTGGCCACACAAGGTCTGTCATTGAAACTTTCTCTCTTAACTGTTATCTGTGTCACCGTGGTACTCTACTAAGATGTGTTTCAATTTCGTGGTCTTTAGCTCATTCTTTATGGTTCTTTCCTTCCTTTTCTTTTCTTTTCTTTTTTTTTGGAGATGGGATTTTGCTGTGTTGCCCGGCTGATCTTGATCTCCTGTGCTCAAGCAGTCTTCCTGCCTGAGCTTCCAGAGTATCTGGAATTATCGGTGCTCACCACCAAACCTGGCTGGGACCCTCCTTTCCTTTTTCTGAATGAGTACGACCTCTTAGTTTTACACATACAGCATTTATGTTGTTTTCAGCCGCTCT